TTTTTTTGTACTATCATTATTACTATTATTATTTTTATCATCATCATTGTCAATGTCAATAAAATAATAAAGAAATGACATATTGACAATTTACATAAACTATATTTCTTTTGTTCCACAGCAATTATTTTAAAAAATTTATTTAGTTTTATTTTTTGTATTATTATTATTATTATCATCATCAAAATCATCATTTTCAATGTCAATAAAATAATAAAGAAATGGCGTAATGTCACAATTTATATAAATTATATTTCATTTGCCCCAAATCAAATTTCAATTACCATTATAGAATCACATAAAATATTAAAATGTTAAATTAAAATGGTTTATTATATATGAAGTATTTCCCGTTGTAATTTTACAATATTCTATAATTATGTTTATCTGAGGTTTGTATCAAATTTGAGATTCTTACTTACTGTATTAAGACTTAAGTGTTTACAACTCAATTTATTTATTTTTAATGAAATAATCTATTTACAATTATAGTTTATAATTTTTTAAATAACATCAACACGTTTTTGTTTACTTAGATGGTTTTAATTTATAGTGTATTGAACGTTAAAAACTATGTTATGAAGTTTTTAAAAAGTATTGGACCGTCACAAAATGTTCCTAGATCTAATTTTTGGCTTCCCTTAATATGTTTTTCCCTTTTTTTCAATGTTTATTTCTTTCCATCCAATAGTTAATCAATTTATATTGTACATCTGGATGTACTTATTGGCATAAAAAATAATATATGTCGGATGTACAATAAATATTACATCCTTTTGATAAAAATTTTGTGTTCGACTTTCACTAAGTTTTAAAAAAAGTTTAAGAAGTAAAAAATATACCATAGCTAGTATTTTTTGGTACGGATGAAAAATTCTATTATTGATATTGGTAAAAAAAGTGTAAAAAATAATAATAATGAGTGCGAGTTACCAAAATAAATGTGACATGAAAAAATATAAAAGGAGGCAAATGAAATAGATGGAGTATGAATCATTTAAATAAAAACATGAAAATTTGAAAATATAATTATAATTGTAGAACTTTCATTTTTTCCAACAATTTCATAACTTCTTTCAGGTTTTTCCAACTCCTTTCCGTTTCTTCTAAATCTTTCCAATATTTTCCAACTCCTTCCAATTTCTATCAACACCGTCCATTTTTTCCAACATCTTCTATTTTTTTCTGAACTTTCAATTTCTTTCAACTCTTTCCAGCTCTTTACATCAAACAACTTTCTTTTTTCAATCTTCTTACTAAATGGGCTTTTAATGTTGCAGGTATGCAATTGTTAGAGATATGACAGCAGCTGCTGTAGGATTGAACAAGTTCTGTTACGCTGGTCTCATATCAGCTCACAAGAATCAACGACCTCTAGCTGATGATGTTGCATCTAAAGTAACGTGCAATAAAAGTTGCAGAATCCTTAAAGGTTTTGTATGTTTTATAGACTTTCGTTATCCCGATTTGTTTTCTTTTTGTGGAGTAGATTATTGAGCTTGTTGAGCAGTCAAAGAGTTGGTCAGAGGTTGAAGCTCCAGGGGATATTCATCCAAGATTTATGACAATCAGTTCTGACGAAGAACTTTACAACATGCCTACTGCGGAGTATATACATCGCCGTGGAATGTTGAATCTGCAGTTAACTGTCTATCATGTTGCATTTCATGCTTTTGCAGACATGAAAAATGTGGAGGTACCTTTGCTACATCTTCATGATTCTGTATTCTTTCATTTCTACATGGCCCATCTATAATTGCTTTCGCTTTGCTTCAAGTTAGGCCGTATTCTTCTTTCAAAATCAAGTAGATATCAGATAGGACACAAACCAAGCAGGTGTAGTTTATAAAGTTTTCTGATAGTTCCCCTTGAATAATATTATCATTTCCATGGACTGATTGGATAATTTTTCAAAGAAGACATATGTGACTTTAAATACCTTACATACAGATTCTTCTGTTATCAAGCCGAGGCCTTGAAAAAATAATCAATTCTATACATTTTAACTGATTCCTATTTTCAATGAAAGCATTTGATCATCTACTAAGTGATTGGCTGAAGTTGCACACTACTCCAACTTGACTTTTAATTGTCAACCAATAGCTTAACCTACAAAATGTAATTCTCCTTATTTATTTACTACAAAATGTGTTATTCCTTAACTATTTGATGTATCTAGTTATAAATTATGACCAATTGACTACTGTCTTGAATGGGGCTAACATGTATCTAGGGTCAAATATCTATATTCTTTGTGGTGATGGCAGAACCCCATTAACCTAACTGTTGGGCAATATTTTCTCTCCTCACTTTTTGTTGAATTTAAAACATTTATATTTCGTGCGAGCTGGGGGTCTCTTGGAAACAGCCTCTTTACTTTTGAGTAGGGGCAAGGTCTGCGTACACACACTCTCCCCAGACCCTTCTCTTGTGGGTTCTAACTGGGTTGTTGTTAAATTTTTAAAAAAAGAACCTATATGATCAGTTGTTGAGTTCATTTCCCATAGTTCAATGAGGTCCAACTTTTTACCCATGACAGGCTATTGACATGCTTTTGACGATTCTTGAAAAGGATGGGAAAACACCTGATGTATACATCCTGATGCAACTAATGAGGTACATCCTTTTTTGGTTCACTTAAATACTAACCGTGCTTCAGTAGTGTCCTTGTATGACACAGGCCCAAGGATCTATTTTAAATTTGATGTAGAAAGAGAACTTGGCATACAATAGTATTTGAAATAGGAGCTTAAAATAAGCTCATGTTTTAATAGCTATCTCCTATAGCTCTCCAGAAATAGCCCCCTTGCTGTTTTTTTCCTTTGAAATTGATAAACTTATTCTTTTTCAAAACAACACCATTTATTTTCCTTAATCAATACAAAGAGTGCCCTTTTGTGCATTTGTAATTAAGTCAGATACTCGATAAGGAATTTTGCCAAACCCTTCTGCCACGAGTTACAGGTTTTGTCTTTCAGCTCCTGCCCAAGACTTGTATCTTTTTAACTCCACACGCAGCAGCGTGCCTAACATATTTTCAAAACAACTCAAGTGTCACGATTCTGCTCTACAAGCTGCACTTGTCTTTTCTTTGATTGCCTTTGGTTCTTTGGTTACAATCCTTTGCACATTGGTGTTGTTGAACTATATTACTTTGGCGGTTATGAAGTTTTCAGTTATAAGATTTGATTGCAATATATGTGTAGGTGTTATCTACATTCTGGAGACTTAGATCGTGGTCTTAAGATTTTTGATGACTACATGAAATCCGGAAGAGCGTGCGTTATAGAACTTTTTGTGGTATGCTATACTTAAAACATAATGAATGCAACTCTTCTTGTACTCCCTTTGTCTTAATTACTCTTCATTCTTTCTTCCTTTATGTTTGTCCCAAAAGTATCTCCTCTTTCCCTTTAAAGAAAGTATTATGTGGATAATATTGTTTCTCTTGAGGAGTTGAGGGTGAATCTACACCACTATACTACAGTTTTCACTTTCTTAAAGAACATGCGAAGTCAAACCAGAAGTGAATACTGGGACAGAGGGAGTATGATCTAGTCTCTCCTATCTTTAACAACAGATGTAACTAATGGCCATTTTCTATTTGGAAGGTTCTAATAGAAGGATCAATGGTGGGGTATACTACCAGGGGAATGCAAATTGCTCAAGATACACTGGTGCGTTTTGAGATTCTAGAGCATTGTGTTCATTTACTTATTTTGACAGCTATTATAAGCATGACTTCTTTTGTTTAATGGTCACATTATGTTTGTATCTCCAGTTAGCCTTCCATAACAGAAATTTTACCATGAGCGTGAAGATGGGTTCCGATCTTCTTCTTGCAGCTGCTGGTGAAAAGGTTTGAACAGTACTTTTTCCCTGCCCAAAAACGCGGTCACATTTGAAAACTTGTGTTTGATAGAAGAGATATTTTCTTGCAGACCGGTGATTATACAGTTGCCAATATGATATGGGACATGATGATTGGACACAAAGTCACTCCCTCATTTCGTGCGGTTGAAGCATATTACAAGGGGTTATTGGTAATTAATCTTTCTTACAAGACAACCCCTGTTCCCCCCCCTTCTCTCACGGTTATATTAAGGCATTTCTAATGAATCATATTGAAAAAAAATCAGGCACATGACGTTCCAAAAGAAGATCCACGATTGATGCAAGTTGCTAAAATATTAGATGATCCGACAAAAAGATTCCCAAGAATAACCCCAAGGCCTGCAGAGTGAGTTTGCTGTTATGTACCTTCATTCCGTGGCAAGTACTGCTTTGTGCTTACTCATGTTGATCTTAGGGAGTTGTGTATTTCGTTCGAATGCTATATGATAAGGTTATCGTGATTTTCCTTTGATAAAAATGGATAACAATAGTGTGTTTCACTATTTCCATTGTTTGAAGCGTTTTGAAAGCTATCATAAACTTCTTCCTGCTTACAGAGATTGTTCATTTTTTCTGGTTTTTTTAACACAGAAGAAATGGTTTGTAACTTGGAATGATTAATTCTTTATTCTGTTTCCATTTCACACTCTGAAAAGAAAAGTACATCCAGTAAAAATTTTGGCCCAGTCAATTAGTTGCAGTTAAAAAATATTGTTTTACTCTCATTAACTGTTCCTTTTATTCTAATTTTAAGTTGTCTGTTGTTAATTACTCCGTATAATGTATGATTGAAATCCCGTAAAAAAACAATGTATGATTGAAATTATTTTCAAATTAGTTCAATTGAAAATTGGAGTGGAAGTAAATGTAAAAGTTTCATGTTTTTTTTCTTCATAATTTGTTGTCAAAGTTAAAAAAATGTTAACCATCATTTAAAAAGATGTGAGAGAGGGGGGGGGGGGGTGTTATTTTATCAAATGGGTATGGAAAGTCAATTTAAAAATATGGAGTAATTATAGCAAGTAAAATATGGAGTAATTAAAGTTTGATCACGTAAGTTTTTCGATCTACAACTAATTACTTCAAAAAGGCTTTTTTTTATTGTTAAGGATTCAAAGGCCTTATTTAGTTCGAATAAAATTGCATAACAAACTAAAAGTGACGAAATGAATGAAAATACATTTCGATTAATAATGAATCCCAATCACAAATGGTGCATATTGCAATGTGCTCTCAAATTCATTGGATTTGAATCAAATAATTAAATTCCTTCAACTATTTGTTGTACTAAACAAACACATCGGGAAGGTAGCCAATGCGGCACCGAATGTACCGAGCACCCGGCTAGTTACAGTGGCAGAGGCAGTATCGAGTTCTTGAGGGCACCCCTGCGATAAAACCGCCACATTTTTCATCGAAAATCCCCTGCAATCTCAACATTTCCAAAGGCAATCCGCAGTAGCTCGTAGGGCACGTGCCCTACCATCCCCACCCCACCCCCACCAACCAGGAAGGTTATCAAGAAGCACTACGGAGCTTTGTAGCATTTTCAACAGCTTTGGCGTAGAAGTATAAATGCCAAAGCTTTACATTGTCCTGCGCGATAAAACAAACCAACAGCAAATCAAATGCCCGAGCCTTTAAACTCTGGTTTGTACTTTTGGTTTACCTCTTTTTCCAAATCAATGTGCATTTCGTTGCAAGAATGTGCATCTGATTGCCCTTGACAATGGATAATCTCTGCAACACTGTCGAGATTTCTTGGTGGCAGGTTCTTAATCATTCGTTGGAGCTCTTGTTTCTCAGTGAGGGTCATTAACCTGTCAATGACAAACAAATGTTCCCCCATAATGACAGGCTGACACTCCGACCGTATGATGCAACAAGGAAAGTTAGGTTTGTTGGTCCATAATCCAACCTGAACATTGGCAAAACCAAGTGACCCTCTGGTAACCACTATCTACCAGAGAGTAATTTGATTTACTGGACGTAAGTTCAAAATTGGTTAATTCGGAAACAGTCTCTCTAGTTTCAAGTAGGAGAAAAATCTACCTACACACCCTTGACCCTACCCAAACCCTACTTTTTGTGAGATTTTACTGGCTTTGTTTTTGTAAGCACAAAATTGGTTAATAGTGATAAACAGTCTAGCTACAAGTTTGTTTGCTGAAATTTCTCGGGATGATTATTTTAGGCTTTCTAGCATTTTTCGTACTGTGTTTCTTTTCTTCATTTGATCAATAAAATATATTTTTTGGGACACTCTAGAAACTTGGCACGGGAGGTAAATCGTGGGATGTGTCTACAGTGGTGGACCCAGATATTTTGGTCGTTGGGGGCACCGTTATATAAAGCCACATCAGAATATACTGAACCTAAACAGTTGGGTTTGGTATTTCAGACCAAAGGAAGAGGGGCACTAATTTTTTGGACTCAAATTAAGGGGGGCTTTTATATAAATTTTCTAAGTAATACTGACTCCGTCCCAAAATAAACTTAAGGGGGGCTTCAAATTATGTGAAGTCAAACCATGAGGTTGATTTTGGGACAGAGTACGCTCCTTATATTTCTAGGTTTTGGGGGACGTGCGCACCCTATGCTCCAAAGGTAGCTCTGCCGCTGTGTGCCTAAGTGGTCAATTAGTTCCCCAAGCATAGTGTATTTATAATCCCCTCTTGGCAAAAAGAACTGGGCAACAAATTGTCTCATAAGTTCATAATATAAAAAGAGGAGAAATGAGTCAAATGCTCGCTGGCACCGATGGAATGAATTACCTGCACTTCGACATCACGGCATCAAGTAGTTCTTTAAGTTCCTGCTCCATGTGGCCAAGCTGCAGAAAAACAAAACCGCAATCAAAATTCTTGACTTCTTTACGAATAAATAGGACTGGCTAGCTACTTGGATGGAGGTGATAAAGTAAGACTTAGGACTTCAAGATCTTACCAAGGATATGGGCTTTTTTTCACAAGAGATACCCCAACTTTGGATGTTGTAACAAAAAGGTACCTCATCTTATGTTTGTAACAAAACCATACCCCAACTTTAAGAATAAGAAATCACCCTAAATAAGAGTAAAACATAGAAAAAGTACCAAAATAGGAGCTCCATGTTTTTATCCTCAAAATATGAGTTTGCACTGTACATGAACATTTCACAGTACTTTTTGGTAATGTATATGGTAATGATTGACACTGTAAATGCATTTTAATTCCTATTTTGGGAATAAAAATATGGAACTCCTATTTTGATATATTTTTAATGTTTTACTCCTACTTTAGTCTTTTTCCCTAAGAATTATACGGTGTAACAAATTGATACTCCTAGTCGGAATTGTCATATTTCGGCGACCCAGTGATGAGCTGACGTCCCACATAGCTTTTCTATCTCCAACATGTTAATTGTGTCTTCTTTACATAGTAATTTTTTTGCTTAATTTTTTTTATGTTCAATAAATAAAAAAAACCTTTTTTTCTTTTTAAGTTGACATATTTTTGTTATTAATGTCAAATGATAATATACGATTAATTTAATTTAAATTAAACATGCATTAAAAATTTTAAAAATAACAATTAATTCATTGAAAACAAGTTTTTTTATTATATTTTGAAAATATAGTATTATTAAAATAAAAGAAAAATTAAAATATTGTATTTAATACTTGTACTTGTTTATTTTATTTTTTTCATTTTTTAATAAAACTCTATTTTTAGAATATAATAAAAAACTTGCAATAAATTAAGTGTTATTTTTAAAAATTTTAATGCATGTTTAATTTAATTTAAATTAATCTTATATTATCATTGGACAGTTATTACACAAATATGTCAACTTAAAAAGAAAAAGGATCTTCTTGTTATTTATTGAACATTAAAAAAATTAAATAAAAAAATTACTATGAAGAGAAGGCACAATTAACATGTAGGAGAGAAAAGCCACGTGGGATGACAACTCTCGTCACAATATGACAATTCCGACCAGGGGTTATCTGTTTGTTATAATTCCTAAAGTTGGGGTATGGTTTTATTACAAACATATGATGGGGTACCTTTTTGTGACAACGTCCAAAATTGGGGTTCCTATTGTGAAAAAAGGCCCAAGGATATGACATTAGATATGAACCCATGGAGGTTCCTTATAGCAGTTTGTGCACGTGCACTTTGGATCTAAGTTCCTAATCTTGGCATGACTGCTTCTTTTGTATGTGCTCTTACTTTGTTCGCATTACAATGTTTACTTTGTTTGCATGTGCTTTTGTGTTTGAGTCGGGAGTCTTTTGGAAAGAGCCTCTCTACTACCAAGTAGGAGGAATGCATGCGTACACATACACCCTTCCCATACCCTACTTCTTGTGGGATTTTACTGGGATTGCTGTTGTAGGACAGGCTAGCTATGTGTGGTTGTGATGGTAATTCTCACATTAAAAAAAGCAAGAAAGATAAAATCTGGATACCACAGCTGACAAATCATCGGATACCCTTTTGAGTCCTTCCTCTACGATTGAGCTTTCACTCTGGAGGAGAACCAAACGACCATCCTAAAAAAGATGACCAAATTAGGAATATTTGGCGACTTCATTGCAAAAGAAAATAGAAAAAATAGAAAAAACACTAGAAATGTGGCTCTTACGACTTCATCTTCTTTAGCAGCCCCAACACTTGTGTCTGAAAGGTCATCATTCTTATTTTTGTTGTTGGGTTGCAAAGGCTCATCCATCTTGTTGCATTCAAGTCTGCAGGCATTGCTGAATGGCTAGCAGATGGTGGTCTTAGTAAATTATATACTTTAATGAATACATGAAGGAAATAAAACAAAAAATGGCTACTACCTCTCGAACAGATTTGTCCTCGGGGCCTTGACTTTCAGAAGCCTAACATGAAATTTAAAAAAAAAATCAAACAGAAGTTTGCCAGCACAAAAATTATAGGAATGCAAACATTTAAAAAAATAGATATTATAGGAACCATGTTATGGGTGTTAGTACATAAATACATGAATGCCTTAAGCAATTAAACCTTGAATTATATACTCCCTCGGTCCAGATTCAGTTGCCTACTTTCTAAAAATTCTCATTTTAAGAAGTGAATTTAAAATGTCAAATAAGCCCTTCAAATGAGTTTGTCACTCATTCATGTATTGTAAACAATGCTCGTATTCTATCTCTATGATATTTTAAACATTCATTATACTTTCTGTATTTAATACGGAAAGTGCACAACTAAATCCGTAAAAGTGAAAACATAAAAGTGAACTAAATCCAGACAGATGGTACATTCTACTTATGAAGTTAAACCCATGTTTTTAATACTAACAAGAGACTTTAGGAGCAAGCAAACACAGCTCTAATCTAGTACACCATTGCAACTAGGAACTCACTGAAATAGAAAGAGTAAGAAACTATTGCTACTTCTATTCAAAGGAAACTAATACCAATTTACCAATATCACTAATATATCAGAGTACTTCATATGTCCCACAAAAAGAGTCATGCTTCATACAGGTACAACTTCTTAATTATAACTAATGGGAAACATCATATATAGCTATATTTTAAAATTAATATGTTGCACACCCTAATTGTTTCACACTTTTTTTTGTAAACCCCCATAAAATATGATGAAAATCAGCTTATTTTGATAAAATATGACTCCTTTTTGGGACAAAAATAAGTTTTCAAATTGGACTCTTTTTTTGGATGGAGGGATTAGTTACTATAAGAAAATATGATAGGTTCCAGGCTGGTTGATTAAGTCATATTACATGGAGTAGTATTTAATAAATGGAACTATTAAATTAATTGTTGATTTTGTTTATTTATGATTTTGAAAATTATTTAATCCCACTTAATGAGAATATCGGAGTCAATCATACCTAATTAGTAAGTGCAAGTTTGGACTAAGATATTCTCTCTTAGTTAGTAGGAGGTTATGAGTAAGTTATTACTAGTGGAAGTTAGAGTCACTTTGTACAAACATACCTCTAGTCATGTGTAATGGATTATCAAAGATTACATAGTAAATTATTATTGGGAGATTCTCAAGGCTAATAGAATTTCTCAAAGGCGAGAGATTCTTGCTTAAGTGATTCCATTATATTATTTCCTTATTCTTTATAAATCTAATTCCGTGGAACTGGTTTCTATCAAAATAATGAAAATACCATTTAAACAATAGACAATTGTTAACAGAAAAAGTGAAGGAAAACTAGGTACAAAAGGACACAATTACTGAAGGAAAAATGGAAGACACTTACTCGCAGAGGAAAAGTGGACAGTTTGAGCTTCTTACTAGGACGATCTTGATCAGTTTCAGGTGCATCAGTAGCTGAGTTACTTGGAAGACTCCCTGAGAATCTCAAAAGAAATGACTTTAACTCGCACAATTTTAAAACAGGATCAACCATCTGCAATTGAAAGGTATGAATGGAAACAAATTACACAACGTTAGAATGAGTAACTTGAGTATATAATTGTGTATTAAATAGAGTCTAACTACCCCAAAAGGATCCTTTGGAAGTTTGGTTTTGAAGGTTTTGGATGGGAAGACTTTGGATGGGTAAGTGTGTTGTTGTCTTTATGCTTTGTCCCCTAACTAAATTCCCATTTTCCTTTTCAGAATTTCCCCAAAATAAGTTCACACTCAATATTAGGAAATATCTGGAGTACTGAAAGTCAATAATACTCTCTGCCTTAAAAATTTAAAATGCCACTTCAACCAATCTTAATTGAAGGGCATATTTAGAAAATCAACACCAAAATTTTTTTTGCCTGAAATCACGTGAAGCCAAAATGTGAACTTCATTAGGGGACATAGGGAATATATATTTAAGATCTTATTAAAAACACCAGAGAATAACATTATATGTGATAATACAATATTTCAATAACACCTTGATAATTTTAAGAGACATTCTATTTATCAAGATATTGAGTAAACACTCTAAAGCCTTCCCATCCAAAACCATCCATCCAAACACACCTTTATAGGTGAGGTTTACACCACACTCGCGAACTTGAATCAACCCTAGTGGACAACATACTCAACGCACACTCGAAGCCTAAACCAAACTAGACAACTAAAAGAGTGGACATGTAGGCCTAAAGCAAGCCCCAAAAGGGCTAACCCAAACCATTGCACAGGAGGATGCCGCACAAACCACCATGAGACCCATACAATGTTCATTCGGCCTAACTTGCCTCAAAAGCATTATCTAGAGGTGAGAAGTCTCACACATTGTCCCAAACCGTCAAGTGGGAGGGCACGCTACAATTCACCATAGGTTCCATACAATGTTAAATTGTGCCTAACTCACCACAAAAAAAGATTCTCCAGAGGTGAGTCTACCACAAATTTGTATGTAGTGGACTCAAACTTAGTAAACAACACACTGTGCATAATAGCAAAGAGATGTCAGCATTCATCATATGAATGGAGAACAGTGTAAAGACCATTGTATACCTCATCAACATCCTGCGAAAGAGAAAAAACACTACGGCGAAGTAGAGATTTCAGCTTTTCCCTTTTTAACTCATAGACCTCAGGACTAATGCAACCATAAAACAAGGAAGAAGAACTTGCACTAGTACACTTCTTCTTTTCACTAGTCTTATACCCATTCACAACTTTAGCTGAGGCAGAATCTTGAAGTGACGAAGGCAGCAAATCTTCATCTTGGGATAGTAACTCTGCTATCTCAGACTTATAGTAGCTAAAGTAATCCGGCCCAAAGGTCTTGGAACCATTTGAAGCATCCCACCCCATTGCAGCTTCTATAATGATAACATATAAGGGTGTAAATATGGAGAAAAATACTATCCCCTTCCGGTGATCTTTTCTATGTGTTCAAAGATTCTCATTGGTAATTTGCGATGCTTCTTTATATATGACATGAAATAAACAAATTCTAAAAGTTACAATTAGGGTCTGTTCAGACCGACAGAAAATGAGTTCATGGAATTGGTTTCAGAAAATGAATCTTTTTTGTTTTTTGGAAAATTTGCTTTTCCGTTGTTTAGCTGAAAGTCCTGTTTGGTTTATTTTCCCTTAGATAAGCAAACAATTGCTAGAGCCCATATCTTGGCAAATGGCTTCTAATAGCAATATCCCCCATAGATTGGCACTTCAGAGCCAAAAAGCATTAGCTGCAGAGAATTATTGGGGCTTACTAGCTCTTGATGATATCAGATAATGATAACATTAGCCCTAATGGTTAGCCCGGGCGATTACGAGGAAGACCAAAAATAATCATAGATTCATAGCACTAAAAACTGAAACCAATAGCCATCTTAGAAATTAAAACCAGTGACCCAGTTCACCCATTTAAATCCAAGAAATACATATGGAGACGCTACTAGAATTTTCATGATATGAAGAAAAAGTTATATATTTTTTTTAAAACTTGCATTCAAAACCTCATACCAGGCAGGAGTTAAAGAGGAGAAGATGAAAAAAGGAGCTGCAATTAATTGTTTCCGGTGAAGAGTGCGGCAGCGGTAGGCGGCGTTGACGGCGGAGAGAAGCGGCGTTGACGGCGGAGAGAAGCGGCGATGGCAGATGAAGAATGAGCTTCCTTACTAGCGATCTGGGAACCAAAACAGCTCCGGCTATGGAGTTGTAGCCAAGAACTTAATTTATCCCTTCTAAAAGAGATCATTTAGACGGCCAGTGGGCCCCGATCCTACATCCGGTTCAATCGAACCCAACATTTAGTAGTCCAAAAATAACTAAATTTAAGGTGCAATTGAACCCAAAATTTATGAAACATTTTTATTGAAAAGTTTGGAGTAAATTACATAAACCATCCCTATTGATTCATGGGTTTCCATATTTAGCTTGTATTTGTCAAATATTACCGGTGTAGTCCTTTTTTATTCTTTTCCACGATCAGTCTTTCGTCACTCACATTGTTGTCTACATGTTAAATACGAGAATAAAAAAATAATTTTTCACTTCTCAATTAAATACCTTACAAGCCTTCCTCATATATGCCTTTGTTTGTATGGTTAGGATGCATCATTTAGATTGCCATGTGCAACGAAGACAGTATTTTTCAGGTTCTGTGATTTTGCGATAAAGTCAATGACTGAAATTAGAGTTCTGAGGGATAGCTGAGGATGGAGAGGGGTAATTTAATTGAGAGACGGGTGTGGGAAATTATCACTTCAACCCGACATTGAACAAGGAGATAACAATAGGAGTGACGGAGAACTCGTTGTGAAAAAGAACCAAAGAAGCATGGACTACGCTTGTAATATTAGATAAATAGGGACCTTTTGTGAACGTTTGCAGTATTAGAAAAAGAACCAAAGAAGCAATACTTTGAACTTATATTTTTCATTCAAAATTATATACTCCCTCCGTCCTAAAACCATCTTCCCACTTCACTTTTTTTCTCGTCCTAAAAATACCTTCCCAAACCCAAAAAAGGGCAGTGTAAAGACAAATATACCCCTCCTCTCATTTACGCCACACCTTCCCTTCCCTATTTGCATTTACACCTTCATGCTGCTTCTCTCCTTCTTCGCTCTTCTCTTCCTCTATCTAAACCCTAGATCTATCTATTCCTCTCTCTCTCTGTCTCTCCTTCTCCGCCTCTCTCAGCCGCCTCTCAAAATTCATCGCCCTCTCTCCATCTTAAAATCAGTCTTCCCTTATACCCTCCTCCGCCTACAAATGGATTCTGTGGATTTGAGATCCAAATCCCAGATTCATGAAATTGGTGAGAGCGAAAATCAATTTCAAGGATTGAAGGAAGAAGACGAGAAGGAAAAGAAAGAAGTTTCAGTGTTTGAGGACGGAGAGAGTCAGATGGATGATGACGGATCTGAATCTGATACTCTCCCGTCTCCAGGCATAGTCATCGCTGATAGTGAATATGAGGAAAGCTCGTTGGATGACGAGCCCATGCGAGGATTTGGGAGCGAATCCGATGAAGAGCAGGAGGCTGGGCCAGAGGAGGGGCAGGGCAGAGACTGGGTGCCTGATTTTGACATGGGCAGCCACTCTGGTTTTGACCAAGGGGATGGCGTGGTCCAACACATTCCAAGGCTCCTCTCCCA